GTGGGGCCCCACCCTGGAGCAGGGGAAGTGTGAGGAGGAAGGCACAGCAGGCACATATGTGATGGACTGACCGCAACCCCCATTCCCTGTGCCAGTCAGGAGGAGAGGGTAGAGAAGTTGGGAGTGATAGAGGGGTTTGATGGGCACCTGACAGCCAGTGAAGGTCTACCTGCCACATATATAAGGTCCACTGTTGTAACAGTGCAGATCGGATAGAACTACCGTCTTTGCTTTGTGCTAGCTTCTCCAATAATTTTTTAATGGGTATTGATTAATTACACAGTATTCTCCACTTGTTACTTCACTGGCTTTTAGCAAGTGTCAACCACTGCTTGTAACAGTGGCGGGCTGATAGCTATAATTAGTTGAGAGGCTGGTAGTAGATGCTTTCTCTGCTGTTTGATCCGTTGGGGAGGGGAAACGTGTATCTGGAAGTAGAGAACCCTCAATTTCACAGTGGAAGTGTAGATTTTTAATTTTCTTTTTTTATTGGATATGATGGCCTTCTTGAACAAGTGCTGTAATACCCCTTGATCAGTTTGACCTTGCTTACCAATTCTGAATCTTTAAGATTTTCCAAGTCATTCATTGTCTCAAATGGGATAGACTGTATGAACTGATAGCTATCTATCTAACTATATAGATATAAGGCAGAAAAAATAAGATGAAGCTTTGACATAGGTTATATTAAATAAATTGTGTGAAGTATCACAGCAAAACATCTTTCAATTGTGGACTCTTACTCACTTTTTGATCATACTAGTTAAGCACTACCGTTATACCATACTTGTTTTCTGATATAAGTATTGTAGTGTATACACTTATTTTTTCTCACAAATCTGAGACTTCGCAGAATAATTAGCCTACACCACCATTTAATACCTAGAGGAAAACTTGTCTGCAATAGTTGTTACTACCTTTAGGATATAGGCAGGTCAGTGGATAACATTTTACTTTGTCCCATTTTGTGTAGTTACTGTGGAATTTGTTTCCTATTACTGTCATAGTTAATGTACATGAATGAATGAATGAAGACTGTACTTCACTGAAATACACAATATTTGTGTAGTTTAAACCACCCATTTTGGAGTTTACTGTTAGGTGTGATCATCAAATAAGCTTGGAAGAGGAGGTGTGAAATAAAAGCTAAAAATGATTCATGGAGAGAAAAAAATGATCAGAAATATGATAATTTACTATTAGCAAACATATTAATTTAAACTAGATATTTTTTTAACAATGAATTTTTTGAGGTGGTAGATTAAATTTTCACAAACAGAACACAGCTAATTGTCCCTTATGCTTTCCAGCTTTTGAGCCTTTAATGATACAAATAAAAGCTTCTGATTAGAGAGTGATGTTTTTCCCTTCCTGTTCCTTCAAGAGGTAAAAAAACCTGCAAATGTATGAAGATCGTATTTTTTTCTCTGTTGGCTGTGGACACTGAACCTGAGGTAAACTTGTGTCAAGGCTTTAATGATTTAGAGAACAGGCGGCTTTGTTGGTGGGTGTCTGTGTCTGCTGCCCCACCCCCCCACCCCCCCAGTTTCTTTACTAGATCTGCCTTATAATATTTTGAGTTGTTAAGTGGTGGAGAAAAATAAGCCATTACAGTGTTCTAGATCTACAAAGCAATTTTACATTGTTTGATTTGGTGCCTTCAGACAGTCTGATGTTGTGGTATATTGTGAATGAAGATTTTTATAGGCTTACTTGTTCTGTGGGAAGGGAAACAATACTATACTTTGTATTCTTGTCTACCTTCTGTGTATTTACACAAACTATCCATGGAGAAGTTCTTATTTTGAGGAATAAGAGAAAAGCACATGTTCTGTGCAACATCACATTTTCCTGTATTTGGTAATTATAACAGCAGACTCTCTTCTGTAGTACATCCTTCCTTTCCTCCATTACAGTTTTTCTGCTTGGGCAACTGACTACAAGATAGGTGGACAAACAGACATAGGGAGGAGGGTATGTGCCTGACTGTCTATATATAAAAATAAATATTGCAGAAGAGTGGTGGTGTGGAGTACTTTCTGTGACTATCCTACCGCGCTCGTTTCCGAGTATTGGCAGCCATCTCTGTAAAACACCAGCACTAAACATTTCTACATATATGTGTAGAAGTAAAATTTGAACAAACATAGACAAATTTGAGCTAAATCATATTGCATAGGTTCCTGCATTTACTTAAATGCAGCTCTCTTGGTTCATTCGGTTTTTTGAAGCGTTATAATTAGATATATGTGCAAGTTGAGCAGATCAGTGGTTTTGGGAGAGGGTTGTTTATTTGATACTTAAATATGAGTTCAATGTTTTTGCTTGAGATGTGAGCTGTGAGTTTAGGTGTTGTAGCTGACATGAAAACTCACTGGAGATAAGACCTCACGCTGTGATGCTGTACAGGCATTTGTTTACTGGTGCATGTTTACAGTGCTGTGAATGCATGTGATCTTTTTAAAAACCCTTCCCCCCTACATCCCCCAAAAGCTCACAATCTCTCTTAGAAAATAAAGGAATAATATAGGAAAATTAGATATGTGCGTTTTGCATTGCTAAGCCTTGTGACCTTTGTTGCCTTGGAAACTTTTGAGACCTGAGCAAGTAAGACTAGGTGTGAAGAGAACAGCCACTGAATAAGAGGAGGCAAACAGTGTAATGTATGGTCTTTTTGAGTGATTTGAATGAAAAAAAGAGTACCTTACTTTGTTATTTGTATGACTTTTGTAATGAGCTTTTTCATATTCTGGAAACCAAAACATAATTTTCAGAAGTTGAAATGATCGGAGTGAGTGAACTTATTGATGGCAGTAACTGTTATGATATAGGTATATCTTTGCCTGCCAGACTTCTGGTAGTCAACTCGCACATACAATCTCTGCTTCCAGCCCTTGTTGTTTCCAAGGGGTATGTTCTTGTGTTTATACTCTTGTTTGAAGAGATTGCTGTGGGTGCTGCTTTCTGAAGTGGTGTGTTCTTCCACAGCTCTGCAGGTCTGTGAAGTAGTGACAAAATGAGATGATACTTCTTTTTGTTAAAGGCTTTTTAATTTGTAAATGTTGGCCGTGGAATTCCACTTGTGTCTTCATGTGCGGCCTCTGAGGCTTGGAGGAGGCATGGGTAGCTCTGACCCAGTCAGCACGGCAGTTTCCATAGCATCTTTGGCATCTGGCTGTGGGTGGCTGGAGGATGTCATGCTGGAGCCTGTTCCTGTGGAAGAAGCAGGAGGTTATGCTGCCTCTTTTGCTGACTTTCCCATTCTGTGGAAATCCCCAATGTGGAATTTGCAGTCTCCAAACTCTTTGCCTTTCAGTAGAGTTAAAGTGATCTAATAATAAAAATATTCTATTCAAGTGTTAAGTGTTCTGCTAGATAATCAACTTTGTAACAAAATCCTAGCAACTCTGAAGCATTGTTATGAAAGGAAGTCTTGACATCCCACTGTTCTGAAGAGTTTTCTTTTATCCTTTTAATGAACCTATTCTGTTTAGTGAAAACACTAAAGTACAGCAATCCCTCCACCTGTTGTCATATAAATTAAATGTACTGTGAAGTGCTTGGCAAGCTAGCTGCTCATAGAGGAAAATCCAAATGTGCGCCTTTTTTTTCTTGTCTGAGAAGAGGGGTCTCACAGCCTGTGGCTTCATGTGATGTGGTGGTCATGGTATTTTGTTTTCTCCCTGTATTACTGATGTACTGTTTGAAAGTTGGAGTCTGCTAAATGTGTCTGAAAGACTTTTTTGGCACTTGGAGAAAGTTTCCTTTCACCAATCCAGGAGCTGAAATAGAATTTCTGCAATTCTGAAAAAATGGAGATTAAAAAAAGGCACATTATAATTTGGAGTGTTGGCAGGTTTTTATTTTTAGAAAATAAATATTCAGTGCCATATTGGAAAAGTGTATATTTTCAGACCAATTTCCTGAGGAAATGAAGCTTATTGACAATGATCGTGTTGTCCGTCTGCACGTTTTGGTCCTTCCTGAAAAATTGTTCAGTCCATCATCTGATTTCAGCTGAACTTGAAACTTGAGGTGACATTTTGAAGAGGATTGTTCTGATTTTTTTTTAAATTTGTTGCTAATTAGAGGAAAGAGACCTAAACTTGTGCTCTTGCTGAGGAGAAAAGAGGCAGAACTGGCTGGTGTATGCCATCCTTAATTAGCTAGTCAGTTTGCACCATTTAGGTTTGCTGACTCCTGCTGAGTTAGGAATATTGCAGAAGCCATGGAGAGTAGAGGGTTCTGTTGTAACAATGATGGAGTTTAAAGGAAGAAATATACATTTCTATAGCAAGGTGAAGTTTCCTTATTTCCAGTATGCAGAGCAAGATGTGTCGAAGTTTTTGAAACTGAATTTTTGTGTTGCACAAAAGTCACTTCTTTATGTGTGCATTTGGAAGCCTTTTATTTTAAACTGTAGATAGAAAGTAGTTGGTAGAAAGCACGCTGGTTCTTTTTGTTATATTGTGTCTTTAAATGAGAGATCTGAAGGTAAGGTACGTGAATTTAATGTTATTCATGACAAAAAAAGTGGCTTTCCTATAGCTACATCCTAATACTCCGTAGAGGGTTGATTTTATTATGTTAAGCGAAAATACCATCCCAGTAACCTTTGTAAAGGTAGGGATAAGCTGTGTTGTAAAAACACAATTGGCACTTCACAACTGCTGCTTCAAAATTCTCTGCTTCTCTGCGATGTGAGGCTGTGTTACCAGGTGACAAGTTATGGGCTAAATTTTGTCTTCATCTTCTGGAGTCTGTAGGTGTTTTAATCATATTTAATGCTATTACAGATCTCTTGTGTTTAAAAGAAAGTAAAAAATTTCCACCCCCACCTCGCATATGTGTATACATGCACACATATGCAGGTATGTATACTCTTCTTTATGTTTTAAGTATTTAGCAGCCAGGGGAAGTTTGAGAAGCAGCCCACGTAAGTAGCTCTGAAGTTGTCTGGATTTTTAAATTGACCAATTTCTGTTTTACAGTGCCTGAAAATGACAACAAAGCGGAATTTGTTTGTGCGGCTGGTGCCATGCCGCTGTCTGCGTGGAGAGGAGGAAACAGTCACTACACTTGATTATTCTCACTGCAGCCTGGAACAGGTGCCTAAGGAGATTTTTACTTTCGAAAAGACCTTGGAAGAGCTCTATTTAGATGCTAATCAGATTGAAGAGCTTCCAAAGGTATGTTGGGTGCCTTTCCTTTCAGTTACATGTATTAACTCTGTTATTTCATAAACGTTGTAGAAGCTGATGGTGTGTAGCTTCCTGCTTCAGCTTTTAGGCTGCAGTTTGCCAAATAATTTTAAGTAAATACTGGTCCCAAAAGCAGCAGCCTTGGTAGAAGGAATGTTTGTGCATTCCAGATTGACTAGTTTGCTGCATGGATTGGAATGAAACTGTTTAAGCAACTGATCCAGCCCAAGAGAGGTACGTAGCAGAAGAGGCAGGTGAATTTATTTCTGTGGCAGTGTCAGCTCAAACTGACTAACCGTATTCAACAAATTGCGGCATTATCTTGAATCTCTGATAACAAGAAGGAGGATTAATGTCTTGTTCAGATCTCTGTGCCCACAAAAGATAGCAACAATCCAAAGTATCTGTTCACTTGAAGTCCTGCTTTCTTCTTCAATACATGACCTAAGAGACTTTCTGAAATACCTCAGATTAATGAAGTTCAGCAACTAGAGAGCTGGAATGCCACTCTGATTACATCTTTATTATAGAAATTAGTATCCATTGTTTCTTCTGAAATCTGAAGACAAACTTCTTGCTGAATTGGCAGTATACTATAGAAAAGACTGAAAGATTTTGCCAGTGAGACATTTGAGAAGTACAAAGTGATCATTGCGATAGACTAGTTTCCATTACTGGGTCCCGTCTTCATGGAATTAAAAACTTAGTAGTTAGATGAAACACAATGTTTAAATTATTTTGTCACAGTTCTGTGCAAATCTTCACTGTCACGTGGGACAACTGTAGAATGCTCTGTGAAATGTTTTGAAAGTTTGCTTTAACCTCTTCAGGTTTTGCTGGTTTGGATTTTTTTAAACATAGATGAAACAAATAAAGAAATAAAACAATTTCAGGATAGTAACTTCGCAGTTCTCAGAAGCCCTGTATTCCAGTAAAGCTGTCTTAAACCAGCTGAGTGCTTTTGAAAGTCCGACCTTAAAAGCTCCTGAGAGCCATCAATGAAAATCTGTATTTGTATGTTGAATAGAGTTAATAGCATGTAACTTAAAACTAGACATTTCGGCAAAGTCTGTTACAATTTAGAACTTCCACTATTTTATTCCTGTCTGTTCCCAAGCAGAATTTCTTTACTCCGGACTTAGTCACTTTAGGTTTTAGTAGCTTGCTTTTGAAGACTTTGTATCAGCCTTTGAGTGTTGTTTTCGTATGATTTTGGAACTTCATTCTTGTGTCTCATTCTTTATTGGAGAAGAATAAAATTCAATGCTTAAAAAACAGAATAAAACAGCTTTTTTTTATCTGAAAAAAGGAAATTTTCTGAACTCTTCTTGCATTAAATTCCTGTTTCCCAGATCGTAAGAACTAAACAAACATATTCATTCCAAACTCATGATTCTCTAAAAAATTCCTGTTAGTAATCTTAAAAGAGGAAGAAAGACTGTAGTGATCAAATGAATGCATGTTGGCATTTTAGACCAGAAGAAGCAGTTAGTCTGCTTTGTCTTCCTTTTCAGATATATGCCATTTGATTTCATTAGTCAGTGCCTGTATGAAATCCAGTTTTAATATGTGAGTCAACTGAGAGGTGGGCAGTCTACCACTTGCCTTAGTCTAGTCTAAGATTGTCTGTGTCTAAGATTGTCTGTGTGATTAGAAAGACAACCTAAACACTTGTTCTTGTTCCTTTTTGCTTTTCTTTGCTGGACTGCAGGGACCTGTAATAGCCTACAGTTGCTTCATGTTAACGTGTTAGTATATTGTAATAAGTCATCCTTCTAGGCTTATTTTTGAGAAGACAAGCATTTTTTTTCAGCTTTTAAGTAATTGTGGTCATTATTTTTTACTACCCTTTCAACTTTCAAAATGAAAACCCCCCAAGTATAAATTCCAGTACTGCAAAGGAGACGAGCTGAGAGATTAGGGAGTAGCAAAGACATAGTAAAAGTGTTTTATTTAATAATTTGATAGAAATTGTAAGCTTGAAACTATCCATACAAGATCTGTAAGGGAATGCCTGTAACATTTGGAAAGATCCTAGCCAGAGTTTCAAGCTGAGTATGCCTTTTCCCTAACCCAAGCTTTTATTTAGTCTTTTAGTTCTGAATAAAGCTTCTCAGATAAAATAAAGGCCTCTCAGATGAAGAGTGCGGTACTTATGAGGCTGTCTCCAGCTTTCTGAAGCCTTGTTAAGACATTCCCACTCTTCCTATTTCCTCTTTGCTCCTCGTGATGTGTTCGTGTCCCTGTTTTGCAGTCTGCTGCCCTTTTTATGGCACAACACAACTGGTTTGGGGCTGTCTTGTCAACCTGATCACTGAAATGGCTTGTCAGTGTGTGTGGCTTTTTTTTTTTCTTTTTTTGATATTACCACCAGTCTTTTCAGAACTCCAACATACTTCAAAAAGCTCTTCTTACAGCCTAGCTCCTTAATTTAGTTGACTAGCCGAGGGCACAGCATGAGCAAACTGCAGTAGAGAGAAAGATGGTGGTAGAGAAGGACTTCACTTTACACAAAGCGCTGCTGTGTAGTCTGTTTCAAAAGTGACTGGGTGTTGAAAATGCTTTCATCTTGTGTGCTAAATCACATCTGAAAAGGTACCCTGTTTATCCCAAGTACCACGGTGTGCATTTCAGCTGAAAAGCTCAAACTTTAGCAGTTGTAGTTTTCCCTTTCACTTTCCTGTTGTTCAGAAGAAATTGGAATTCTGCAGTAAAATAGTCCTTAATTATATGATTTCTGGTGTTAGCTAACAGTAACGATGATCTACTTAATCAATGAGTATGCAAACATTAAAAAAGAACAACAACAAAAGAAAGAACTACAAAGTCAATACCATACAAAACTCCCCTCCCCTTCATTTTCCTTCAGGCATCTTGCAATTACTTGCGCTGTATTTGCTTTCACCTGACTAATCGGGGAAACTGCTAATGATTCCAAGAGTCCAGATTATTGTTTTCAGGGATGACTTTTAGGTATATATTCTTGCTTGAAGTGCTGAAGTGAAGTAATGGTTCCAAAACACGTGGGCTCATGAAAGTTCTTCTTCCCATATAATATCCTAAGTAACTTGTAACTCTTCACAGCATTAATGATAACAAGTAGTTCTAACAGATGCACATTTCTGAGAAATTGGAAACATCAATAAGCAAGTTAAAGCTTGTTCCTTGAACTATGCATCTTGCTAATTTATGTCTGCTTTTGTTCTGGGGTGGTCTATGCAAACATTACATGAATGGGGCTTGTTCAACGGTCTGTGGTTGAAATAAGGGCCTTCTAATTGAGAGAGACCCAAGAAGTTTTGGTTGAAGTAAGCCCATTGCTGCAATGTTGATTGGGATAAATATTTCCTAGTTATAGAACACTTCGTAGTTTTGCGTGATCTTTTCTCAGAATTCCAATAGAGAAGAACACTACGTCCAGGTATTTATGAATGATCTTATCCAAAATTGCTGGGAAAGGAATATTCATCATGAATTGTTCATATGAACCTTTTCAGCCACTTTCTTACAGATACTTATTTTGTACTATATGTAAGCTTCCTATGTATCATTTGAGGATTTTTCTTCCGTTACACTAACATTACTTGCCCTGGTTTGTCAATTTAGAAATATTTTGGGTAAGAATCTCAATGTACCTTGCATATGGGAAGAGATCTGGCTCTGAGCTACTATTTGATACAAATTTTAGTGCATGTATGCAGATGAGATCATATAGTTTTCCATATCCTTAAAGTTTTGCTAGTTTTCGTCATAATTCTGTTGGATTTTTATGCGCTTGAGCTAGGAAGCATGGAAGGGGAAATAAGATCAGTCTTTCAGAGAAGATCAATACCTACTCAGATACTGTATTCCAGAACTATTTGTCTTTAAAAAATACATCTATAAATTAATTTTTTTCTTTTTTGAAGAAACTGTTATTACCTTTGGGGTATCACATGATGTGCCTATTATGGAAAATATTTTGGAATGTTTGCAGGACTACATGTAACTGTGGGTCACAATTTCTGAGACACTGGAAGGAATTTGTAGGAAGTGTGAAGCATGGCTGCTGGCTTGTTGTGACCATTTGCTTTTTTTTTTTTTTTGCTTTCCTAAGCATTGTCAACTTGGTCAATTTTGAATAAAACTGGTTAAATAAAGTTTTTGTAGTCAAAGGCTCTGAATAGTCTGGCCTTCAGGCTGTGAGGTCAGAAGTTTAAAAGGATTAAAACCAAAAGCTGCGTAGAGGAAACTAAGAGAAAGTTGCATTCACTTTTTTCTTTGTTTCAATAGCAACTTTTTAACTGTCAGTCTCTGCACAAGCTGAGTTTGCCAGACAATGATCTAACCACATTGCCAGCATCCATTGCAAATCTCATTAATCTCAGGGAACTGGATGTCAGCAAGAATGGTAAGTCACTTCACTTACTATATCGGGGTAGCTAAAAGGCAAATCACCATTAACTGTACAAAGACACTAGTGAAAGTGTAATTTCTAGAAGCTAGAAATTTTAAGTTTTAAATCACTACTCTAAATCACTGCTTAACATAAAAGATGCTCTTTTATGGTCTGGTTGTGATATTTAGTTGCATCTCTCAGATTGGCTTCTACTTTAAAATTTGTTACTAAAAACTGATATTGTGAAGTATTTTATATTCTCCCAAAATGCATGCACTCAAATTTATTAGTTGTACTGGCTTTTCTCGTGGTTGACTATGCGGAAGAGAGTTTGCACAAGAATTTGTAAAATTTTGGTGGATTCTATTACTATATTTTATTTCATATGAAAATTGTTTTCAGTTTATTTTAATGAGCTGTCTGAAAATTGTTGTAGGACTTGGCTGCTTTGCTGTCCGGCTCAAAGGATGGTAACCTGTGCTGTATGGGGGAGAGGACTATGGACAATGACTGGTTCACTTGTCTGACTTGTTAAAAATCTATCATTCTGTGTGTCAGCCTTTTCTAAATTACGAAATGTTGTCAGCCAAGTGTTGTATACATGGGATTTTATTAATGGTGCTGCTTTGGCAAGCTGTGCAACTGAGGGAATTGAAAGAACTTATATTGTCATCAGACTTTGTGTGGCTTATTTGAGAGAAAAAAAAAAGTGCAGTTGTGCTAGTTGATGAGGATATAATAGTCTTGTCATACTAGTTCAAAGTGAAGTAAGAGGACCTGTCCTTGAAATCATGTTTGAAAATAAGAATAACATAAATACGACAAAGATGTTGTGATACTAAATTCATTGTTTTGTTTGGACAGCTAGCTAATTATGACTCCACAAAGTAAAGTTATGCTTTATTAAGAAAATATTCCAGTTGTTGAGGTGTTTGCATTCTCCTTGACTGTCCATTGTAGCCCAGTCTGTGCTTGAACTGTTATTTATTATTTTGCATAATGAACGCAGCGTTTAGTGTGATAAATTGATGTGATTGTCACTGCTCTGTTCCTGGTACAGTGGATTAATAGTCTTTCCTAAAGAACACTGGTCTTAAACTTTCGTAGTGACACACAACAGAGAAAGAATCATCTTTTTGTCCTAGACTGAACTGTTGAAAGGATTAACTGTTTCCAACACAAGTTCTCAATGCAGAAGACTTAAAAGCAGCAAAAGGGCATTTGAGTTCTAGTGCTGGCAAATTCCTTAGCTTATGAGCGTAAATAGGCAGCTGGTCACTTACCAGCTAGAGAGTTACTTGTCTATCCAAAATGGCGTAACCTTTAGCTAAGCTTTCAGGGAGCTGCTGAAAGAGCACTTGTTCCTCTGAGGCATATAAAGAATTTAAGGAGGCAATAGCTGAATGATACACTATCCCAGTAAACTGTGAAGCTCTGTTTTCTAGGTGTTGCTTTGTTTTAAACACCTTTCAGAGAAACTACAGGGCACAAGCTTATGTCATCTACCTGGACTTCAATAAGGCCTTTGACACTGTTCCCCACAGCATCCTCCTGGAGAAACTAGCTGCCCATGGTTTGGATGGGTGTACTCTTCACTGCGTAAAGAAGTGGCTGAATGGCCAAGCGCAGAGAGTGGTGGTGAATGGAGTTAAATCCAGCTGGCGGCCGGTCACAAGTGGTGTTCCCCAGGAATCAGTTTTGGGTGACGTCTTGTTTA